TTGAACCCTTATTTTTGTTATAGGAAAAGAAGAAAATAAAAAGTATTGGTAGTAGTAGTAGTAGTAGTAGAAGAAGAAGAAGAAGAAGAAGAAGAAGTAGTAGATGAAGAATATATGGAAGAGGAAAATGTGCTGATTAGATAAAATTTTTAGTTCTTCCTTACTTATTGGTTCAGGTTTTTAAGTCTTTGAGGGTTCAACACAGCATTTAGCAATGTTTGTGTTGATTAAACCCTAATAAATAAGAAAATAATAAAAAAAAATAGTATATAAACACACAAAATGATTGTTTTAGTTTAATAATGTCTATTTTATAATTATGATCTCAAAAAAGAATGAATAAAAAAGTATTTTATAGTAGGAAGTAGAAAACTGTTAGGCGATTAGGCGAGGCGAGCTTCAAAGGGCGCCTTGTCGCCTAGGCGTCGCCTTGACAACTATGTCTCTTCCTCTCTTCTTTCTTATGTTTTTCTCTTATTTCTTTTTTCTTTTTTGGTTTTCTTGCTGAAACCACATCAGAATACTGATCGACTGTGAACAGCACCAGCCATCTAAATACTCAAGTACTATTGGACAAAGGTTTTGTGCTGGTTATTCAATCTGTTTTATCCATTTCAGATTGAGACTATCAGCTTCAAGCAACAAAGCTAAGGACTGGTGCAATTATAAGAAATCCAATATGAATCTAACAATATAACTAAAACTATTGTAGCTAAAAGGAATTGTAAGTACCATGCAGTTCAAAGAAATATTATCTTCCTTGCAGTTCAAATAAATCTAATTAGATTGACCAAAAAAACTGCAATGATAAAAAACCATTCAAAAGAAATACTATATTATTGGCTCAAGAAGTAATTCAAGCTAGTTGTTGGAGCCTGCCTGCCAAAAGAGAATCCTTTGAGTAGCAGCACCAGTTGGAACACCCTCTGGCCACATTGGGATAACTATATAGGCAGAAAATCTCTCATTTGCTCTGATTTTGCTAGCAATTTTTAGAGCAATTTCCATTGGTATTAAATTGTTTGCACCTGCATGTAAGTAGAAATATATGTTCAGCAAAGAGAACTCGATAATGGTATTGACAATCACCACCACCTAAAGTGATATTCAAGAAGAAAATAGAGAAAGAGACCGACTTACATCTTATGCAATTTAAATACATGAAAAAAACAACAAAAAGAAATATAAAAGTATTCAAATCAATTTATAATAAATTTAACTAGTAAGTTAGTAACACAAGTTTCTGCCCTAGCAAATCATGATTGCTATCAAACTGAAGCTTAAACTTGAAGAAATAGTTGGTTAGCCATGGGTGTGGGGTTCCATACCCACACCTAGTTGTTTCTAATTTCTTTTATTAGTAGTTTCTAATTTCTTTTATTAGAAGTTTCTAATTTCTYTTAAGTTGGGCMRGCTGRCCTTATTGTTTCTAATTTTTGTTTATTTCCTATTCTTGTAAGGAACCTAAAGCTATAAATAAAGAAGTGTATGGGGCGGCAGATYATTAACCACCGAACCCCTTCTTTCTTTTCTCCTCTCTTCACTCTTCTCTCTCTCTCTCTTTTTCTTCTCTGCGAACTTGTATTACTTCTCTAATACAGTAA